ATTCCCTGAATTATAAAGATAGGGTGCATTTTCTTCGAACCATAATTTTTGCATCCTTCCCTAGTGATGTGCTTATACCACCATTTTAGGTATCGATGTCGATACCTAGTACTTTTCCAGGGTATCAAGGTACCGATTTACCTCTCGATACCTCATTTCTATGAGTTACATACCGCCGGGGGTAATAAGTAAAGACAAAAATACAACTATACTTTTCCAAGTATTTAGGTAATCGTGTCTAGACAAATTGTGACTATTTAGCTGAGACTCTAACAAAAATTATTTGTGAGAGAGAGAGAGAGAGAGAGAGAGAGAGAGAGAGAGAGAGAGAGAGAGAGAGAGAGAGAGAGAGAGAGAGAGAGAGAGAAATAAATACCCAAATATGAGAATAAAAACAAAAATTAAGTGAAGTATGGGAGGAAAGTCAACTTTGCAGAAAATGTTAGTATTGGAAAATAAAAACACAAGAGTTCTAAAAAGGCAATTCAATTTACCAGATTTTTAGCAACTTTAAATTAAACTAATGAGGATAAATCAGGGTTGTCAGTGAGGATTTTGCAAAATCACCAGATAGATTTCATGAAAAACTTCTCTCTTTTTGTTGAAAAATCACTAAATTAATTTAAAACGCTTGCCCCCTACGAAAACTTATCAGTTTTGATAAACAAAAAATTCTCAAGGCCTAAGTCACTTGCTTTGGCAGCCCTGGGATAAATAACACATAGGTATCGATGTTTAGAGCAGGCAAAGATAGTACATAACAAGATGGGCCACTTCTCTCTCTGAGCCAATTAAAAAAGTGTCCTCAAAATTTGGTGGCGCCCTCTTCACAAAAGCGCACTCTTTGCGAACAGAGTTACCCTACTTGAGTTATAAAAAATCAAAGTGAAACTAGCAAGTTTTGGGATAAATTTCGGAAGAACGCTTTTTTAAAATGGTTACCCTGACAAAAAACCTCTTCCGGAGGAAAGGGTGATGGTTTTCTTCGTTTAATTTGACTTTAGAATAAAAGGCGAGAGGTCATTAAAATAAAAAAAAACTAAAACTCCGCACTGAACGTACCCGAACTGCTGATGAACAGCAGTCGATCTGCGCATGCAAGGAGGTGCTATTCCTATTCTTCTTCTGGAAAAACGAAAGAGAGCTTCAAAACAGACTGCAGCGCCATCTGAAGCAAAGAGCATACTTCCTGCGGACACTTTTTTGGCTGAGTGGCCCAGCTTGTTATTTACTATCATTGGAGCAGGTATCGGTACCGATACCGATACCTATAGAGGTATCTAAGTATCAAGTACCTGGTATCGATACCTGCCCATCACACCCATACACCTCTTTGGGCCTTATAGGCACATGTACTTTAATGTTGTTACTATAATTGAGTTTGAAAGCATATTCAATTCCTTTCACTTTCACTTCCAACACGCGGGCACATAAATATTATGATTACAGTTTCTTTCCTAATCCTTACTATGGTCATTTTCCTCTACTTCTTTTATATGTTTGTCACACTCTTGTGACCCACTATTTCCGGGTTTCCTTGAAAGTCGAAACAGACCTTGTGCTATTGAAGCTTGAGAGGTGAGCAGAGTAAGCCCGATACCCTGTAAGGACTTCTCTGTTGACATCCACTGCTCATATGACCTTATGCAGTTGCGAGCGCCGTAAAACCTCAACTAAAACTAAAAGAACTCAACACCGCGCATTTTTTTTATAGCAGGCACGGTACTAGGCTAAAACCACAATAATACAGGGGGTCGTTGCAGGGGTTGAGCCAGAAATTACTGGTGGGGGGGTGGGGAGGGTGGATACAGTTTGGTTAAACCCAAAAACGTGGGTCCACAGAGTGCTATATTCAAAGCGCTTATGGGCATGTCACTGTCCCCCCCCCCCCTGTGCAGGTCGATAGGCAGAGCCCCCCCCCCCATATTTTCACAATTATGTCTCTAAAATAAACAACAACAACACACAAATGCACAAAGCCTGGAAGATGATAAAGAAATTAAAAGGTATCAAAAGAGACACAGTCAAACACATCTTAAAAACAAATAACTCTTTCGCAGAGACAGAAAAAACAGTAACTGACTGTATAGCATCAACCCTTTCAGGAAAATTTTTCTACCCAAAATTACAACCCAGAATTTAAAAAAGTGAAAATGTCTTCTGAAAAGACAACTGTTGACTTTACCTCTTCAAATTAAGAAAACTATAATTGCAGTTTTTCTCTTGATGAACTAAAATGTAACACCGCAGAGCTATTAAACACAACTCCAGGCTCAGATCAAATAC